GAGTTAGGTTGGAGCTTCTTTTTGAAAGTGTTATCTGTGTTACGTATACGGATATGTTGTGGTAGAGCATTCCTTCCATACAGCCGGTCCTGCGTATGAGAATGAGCATTCGGCTGCCGTTGTGTTTCTTCGTGGGATTTGAAGTAATGTTTTATCGTTCTGTGAACGGAGATGACATTTGGAAACTGGGATGATCAGTAGGTCAGACAGGTAATGCGGAACAGTACTCATCAAGCATTTGTAGATAAAAAGTGCCATTTTATATCCACTTTATATCACATTTTGATATTGCATAAAACCGATCACTTGCCAAGTCTTTTCCAGGTCAATCATGGACAGCTTATCATCGATCGCGCGATGCCTTACATTAAGAATCTACGTGTATATATTATTAGGGCTTTGCATATTCCCGGATTGGTTTGGATTAGATGGAAATATCATTACAACTCAATGAATAATACCATGACATCGTATCTGTCAGTATAACCTTGTTTTACAATGTCATAAACTAGCTTTCTAGGTAAAATATGAAAAATTGAATAATAATTGTGCCTTTAAGGGACGTTCTTTCCAAGATTCGGAAAAGAGGGAGATGCATGCAGAGTTCAATTAAAACAAAATTCTGTATTTCTTTTCTGAATTTCATAGCTGCTCTGATTTGCATTTTGTTCAGATTTCGGTCGTGTCCCCTCTGGGATTTCATTTAAGATCGAGATAGGTTCAGCCTGCACAATCAGTCAGCTTCCATGTGGGCCATCTCTGCTTACATGTCCCTTTGTATTCGGTCCATATCTATCAGGAATGAACAACGATTTGATGGAAAAGATAGTGAGTTCGTAGGAAATCGGTAACATGGCCAGGAAATTATCCCTTGCATAAGGCACACAAACAATGACTAAGTTGAACAGAGAAAGGAGTTGTCTCTTTAATTATTGTTGCCGATGTAACACTCAGAGGCAGACGTGTAAAAGCGTTAAGACCTGCTAGGTTCTAGCTATAATCATAATGTTTTCAACCAGTGAAGAAAACATACACGCGTACGCTTTCGATAGATCACTATGTCTTCATATCAGTTCATCACTTAAATTATGATATCAATGTTTATGTATCACACATTCTCGAAGAAACGCCAATTTGAAATTCTATATTTTGTTTCTATTTGTTTTGAATATTTCCCCCCTTTAATAGTTTATACAACAATTCGCGTGAACTCGCAAATATTTCCAAGTCAAATTTGGGGACGTTCTTTATAACCACTCTTTAAAGTCTGTAAAATGTATTTGTTATGATGCCAGCCATTTGCTTACCCCTCCTAGTCAATTAACCTTCGATTTTTAGGCGAAAGTGTCCGTGCTAATATTGTTTTGAATTGGCACTGAAGTTAACCGGGAAGAGATCTCAACGTCTTTGCGCCCTCTGGCGGTAAGCACTGGGTTCGTGACGAGCCCTTTCCCGTGCGGAAATCAATTTTCTCAAGACTTGAATAGGTATAGGGGGAGAGCGGCAGGCTGGGCCGCTAGAATACGACGGTTTTCTTAACCCCCTTTCAGAAGTTTCTTTCTAGATTAATCTAAATGTGCGTCTACGATCAATAGCCCCTAGGATTGTAAGTGATGAGTTCTAATTTCATCTGGTGGTGTGTGGTGTGGTCAAATAGCCAATGAAACCGTCCAGGGGTAGAGCCAGGGATTTTTCAAGGGGGAGTCAAAATTCAAAACACCAAAAAAGACTCTGACAAGAAAGATCACATTGTTGAGGTATTTATTATGGTCTCGAATTTTAAAATTGGGCACAAAAACTAACTAATGAAACCGTTGACTGTTCGGTGGTTTCCTACTATTCCGATAAAAATGAAGAAAAAAAAAGAAGGAACAAATCTATCATGATTGCATTCTTCAGATATCGGATTCTAAAACCGTGTTAGTACACATCTTAAAATTAAAAGTTATTTCTTGTCACAATTTTCATTTAATTGGGAAAGACACCGTCTGGAAGCAATTTTTGGAGGTTGTTCATGAATTAAATGAGATGCAATGCTTCAACTACCGTAAGGTTGGAATGCCCAAAACGAAATGAAATTGACCCAGTCTTGATCAACATCACATGCACTTACACAAGATTACGTGCATGGGACTACACACAAATATTTGCTACAAACAAATTATATAATAAACGTTAAGGTATAGGAAAAGTAATCCTTTCACTGTGTTATTCTTCCAAACTAACTTTTATATCATAACGAAGGAGAATTTCTCTTTTCTCATCTACCATAATTCATCATTCTCTTCAACTTTGAATTCGACTATTCAATCACTGTCTATTTGTTTTATAATGCTAGTTTACCCTTAGGTTTTCCCCAAGACATAATATTAAGTACAATTGATTTATTGCTTGCGTTTGTTTGTATACATTCTATTTTCCAATCTTCAGCATTAGGATAAATGAAATGTATATCAAATGCCCATACGAACATTATTTTATGCTTGAAACTGTTCTCAGGGCACTAGATGTCTGGCCTTTATTTTCCTAATTTCGACAAATTATGCGATCCTCCGGCTGCGTAAACAATCTACACTTTCCTTTACGAAAAATAAGTTGGGAGGGCATCAATTTGTTTGATAAAGCTTTTCAATGGAAATTCTACTCACTGGACAAATATGGCGAGTTTTTCGTTCCCCGAAAAGAATTTGGAGAGATAGAGGTTTAAATTAATTGCACTGAAAATACAGATTGCTTTGGCATCAAACCAATTTGCCAGCAATGTACCTCAGTCTAGTGCGTTATATTGAGCTGATGGTTCAGAGGGGATGGAATATTAGGGTTCTTGGATTTGAGCAACGATACGGCAGCCATGTCCTTTAAGAAGGCATTCGTCTATATTTCCCACTACTGACCCAAGCGTAGAAAATGGATTATTGGTTGAATATATACCCTGAAACATCGGGTACTGGAGTTAGATGCAAGGTAATAAGTTTCAAACCATTTTGGAAACGCTTTATTGTTTTATACTCTACATGTCGGTTTTAAATCATTCTACAATCAAACTGATTATAGAAAACATATAAGGAAAACTGTTATTACATTTACATCGACACACAGTAGTTTTACATGGCACAGTTTAAAATATATATGATTGTATATAAACAAAACAATATATACTTTACATCATAAATATTCGTCTATCGTTACTGTGGCATGTTGCCAAAAGGCAAAACATATCAAGAAACCTTTTTTTTTTTGTTAACTTTGCGTGGTAATTGAAAATGTGATTGAAATTCATAATTTTTCATTGGAATTATTTTACGAAATCTCTTTGGAAGCTCTCCGTATTAATAGCTCGCTAATTTCAATAAATTAAAACATTAGACAATAAGAGAGAGAGAGATACAGAGGAGTAAACGTTTAATGATTATTTTAAAATTTAAAATATGAGAGTCAGGCACATTAAAGTTGTGTTTGATCAGTCGAACATTTCAAGAAACCTTTTTTTTATTTTTTAACTTTACGTGGTAATTGAAAATGTGATTGAAATTCATAATTTTTCATTGGAATTATTTTACGAAATCTCTTTGGAAGCTCTCCTTATTTAATAGCCCGCTACTTTCAATAAATGAAAACATTAGAAAATAAGAGAGAGATACAGAGGAGTAAAAGTTTAATGATTATTTAAAACATTTAAATATGAGAGTCAGGCACATTAAAGTTGTGTTTGATCAGTCGAACATTTGCAACTCTGTCTCTTTTAATATCGGAACCAAGTCTCTATTATTGCACAGTCTTAACGAATATTCGGTTTCTGAAGAAGAAATGGAAGACAAATCTCTAATTATATAACTAGGGCGCAACTATGGGGACATGTTCTCATACCCCCCCCCCCCCACGCACACACACAAACACACATACATAAAATAGATTTGCTTCACGTTTAAAAAAATGGTGTGCTGCTCGCAATGACCCTCCTCTGAATTCACTGAACTGTAATTTATTTTCTTTCTCAACTTAGATTTTTACTGCATACTAGAGTTAATATTCAATGAAAGAGAAGATTAACTTGTAAGAGAAGTGAACAACGATTTGTAAGCTTGTTATACGTGAAAAATTATATGTGAGTGTGGGTTAAAAATTTACAAAGCCCCCCCCCCCCCCCCCCCCCCCCGACAAGGATGGCTCTTCAAACGCAATAAATGTCGAAGTATGCTAAGAAACAGCTAAACGTTGGGGACCATGCACACTTACGTGCTATGTGTCAGTATACACATGTCTGTGTACAGCACAAGCGACTTTTAGCGAGACTGGCCCAACTCCTTATCGTTTTGATGATTCAAAAACTGTACAGTATAAAGCCCATGCCCATGTCTAACAGGACAACAAAAAATTCCAATCGACTCGACACAGTTTCTTTCGAAATGCAATCGCATGACCAGAAGTCCACTTTATCTTTAACAGATTAAGCAAATACATTAAATGCATTGCAAAGCCCCGACACTTTGAATTTGTTTCGTAGGTACTGCCTAAGCCGCTTCCACAATCCCTCATCCGCAAACGAGCTTACACACTCAGAATAAAGCGAGGAGTTAGTGATACCGAATAATGTATTTGTAATAATTCATTTATCGGTTTTCTTTTCTTCCTAAGATTAAGGAATCGTCTTTACCTTTTGAAGAGCAAAAAGTAATGCCGCTTGTAAATGGAATAGGATAATATATTTTCATCAAATTCTCTATGATAAGCCTTGATTATTATCTTTACGTAGGCCTTTTATAATATGTTATATTTGATATTGTATACGATTATATAATTTGTTTTCAGATGTATGGGATGAACGAGATTACGGTTTCGAATTGATTTCGTTCTTTGTTGTTTGTAATATGAGTGATGTAAGTTTCTCGTTGGGAGCATTGACCTCAATTTACTTTGTTTCCAGCGTTAAGGGTTTGCTAGAGTTCATGAAAGCTGGGTTTTAAATTGTTTCGTTTTCTGTTGTTTGTTCTTTGATGTAGGTTCTAACTGTTGGGACGTTGTACCTCCTGCTCACACCGGTACACTGCCAAACGGACCCTGCTGCCGCCACGCCTCCGGCTGTCGGCGACCAGAACCAAACGGCGTCAGCCACTGGCACGACCCCATCTCCAGTCCTCTCTTCTTCCACGCAGCCCGCCCCGTCTTCCACCAATGCCACGCTGCAACTAGGAACACGTGACGGCAACGCCACGTCCATTCCGCCAACGCCCCCAACGTCCGATTCTAACTCAACAGCGCCAAACACCACAGCCAAAATGGAGATGACCTATTTGGTCCGTCGCCCCACCACCCAAGCCCCGACAGATGCGCCTCACACCCCGTCCGAGAATCCGATCGATGAACCGGAGAGCCAGCTGGTGAATGCATCTACATTTGAGGTGATCGTGAAACATCTAGCGGATTCTGAGGGTTATAACTACAGCGACCCAGTTCAACAGTGCGATATCCGCAAATTTCTAGAGCCCATTTACCTTGATAATGAAGCAGACAATGGAGGTAATGGTTATTTCTCACTCACTTCAGTTTCGTCTTCATGAATTCATGTCGTATTCCTCAAGGGGGACTATATTTCAAATAATCTCCTTTACCAAAATAATATTACCTATTTCTGCCCATTCCTCACCTATCTTCTTTTTCGAATGTGTACTAAATTCGAGATAAAAATGGAAAATGGATATCTTTATTTTATTTTATTTTATTTATTTATTCGGTTTAAAAACATCAACACGTAAAGTTCAGGAACTCATAATGGTTGATTTACAATGAAATTGAATAGTGTAAACAAAATTAAACCAAAATATATACACTTAAGAAAAACATGTTGTTTTACACACATGAAAAAAATGGTTACGATTCAATAGGATATTCGTTAAACATGTATACCTGTCAGCTACTGTTCTTGTGAATATGTCTTTTCACACTTTTCCTTAAAATACGATCGCAAAGGTTTTCAAGAAATCAACTAAAGGCCAAAGTCGCTACCCTAGATTTTTGCCTCTAGAGATCATGTTGAGATTACGTAATACATCACTGTAATGCTCCCCCACTTCAATCGGTGAGGGGGCAGGGCTTTTGGAATTACAATCAGTTGATATTCACAAGTCTTTGCGATTCTGATTTAAATTGAGGCAACATGAATCTTACCTAGCTATAATATGATAAAACTTATGATAGATAGAAATTGCCCAGGGGGTGTTTCACAAAGCCCTTTTTCAATGACAAATAACAAAAATCAGTGACAAATCTGCTGATAACCAATCAAAGGCAAGGATTTCAGTAGCTTATAACACAAATTGTCATTTGTCACTGATGACAAGTTTTGTGAATCGCCCCCCCCCCCCCCGAGCGCTGTAATATGTTCCAGCATGAACCTGCTACCGTTTGTCTAGAGTTCATGTGAAATATATCCTCACAAATGTTAAAACAACATGAACAATCTTTTGAATTCGTGGAAGTTCATTAATCATTGGCAGATCTTTCCTACTTGGTACAATATTATGAAGCATGTGACTCTTAGCAATTTCCCAGAGCGGTGTACGGTTCAGCATTTTTGTCCACCATAAATATTTTTTCTTCTTCACACGGTTCGTGTGAATATTTACACAACTTTCCTTTATAAATTGAAGCAACATGAGACGTAATTAAACAAAGAACTCTTTGAGTTCTTCGAATTTAGAAAACATTTGCAGATTTTACCGAGGGAACGCATGATGAAACCTATGGCGAAACTTGTGATTGATATAGATCGCCCAAAGCTCGGTGTGATTCAAGTTACACGCTTCAGAGGTAGATGTATTTCGATGGCGGATCAATGGCATACCCGCTGGACATTCTGTCAGAAATAAGAAATTACGTTCAGCAAAGAGCAAAGTTATGTTTTTCCCTTCTATAAAGAATATGGTTAAAGTGACTCAGTAACATTGCCTCAGATTCTGAAACATAATCCTGGGTTTAGCTCATGCTGCAATCATAGTTATAAACCTTTAGGTCAGTCAGGAATCCCATGGCTTTTACAAGCCGATCGCCTGTCTGATTATCAAGATATTTATGACTTGAAATCGAAATCAAATTTTGCGTTTTCCTAACTTTTTTGTATGTAATACTACAGTCTATTAGGGGAAAGGAGTACGGTAAGACCTGTCACTTAAAGATGTTTCATTTTTTTGAGGCATTTCGTGATCATTTTGAAGCGCAATCTTTTTAGGGCTTCAATATTACACCATTACAGAGAAGGTTAAAGTTTGGTGAAAGTGAAGGGGACAAATAACTTGTGACGGAGATTTCGTCGTTCTCTTTATGTCAGTTGGGAAGGAGGTTCACTAGAAATGTCTACTGAAAGGGATCATTATTTAAACACCCTCCTGTAGAAAATAGTGACGAGAAATATCTGAGATGTTTAAAGCAAACTTTCATGTCACATCTGTTTGTGTAGTCCCGTATACCCATTTCTGTTTGCAATGCATGTTACATTCAACTGCACTGTCTCAACTCCTGTTATGCAATGCATATGTGGTAAATATAAAACCTCACTGTATCATACACCATTTCTTTAAAGCCTATCTGCACTAGTTTAGCCAGGAGGGATTAGACCTCCATGCATCGTCACTGACAGGTGGTTATCTCATCAAAACAGCTCTCAATTAACATAAGAAAAAGGGGACCATGAAGGAGTAACGGTCACCGATTAGGCATTGTTTGCTATAAAGGGCGCAAGTAAGTAGTGCAGTAGGGCTTTAACGAAGTTACATTTAACCCACAGTCTGAGGCACACCGCAAAGCAGGACCCTAACTGACCGATTATGTTCGATTCAAGGTATATAATTGTTTGTTTGGTCTGCAGTCTTGTTGATGTATCACTTCTGAAATACTTTTGATTTTGCAGGTACGTTCTGTCCGAGTTACTACGACGAGATTGTGTGTTGGGTTGCTAGTCCACCAGGTCTGGTTGAGAGGCAATGTCCAGAGTTCTTCAACGGAATCATCTACAACACCAATGGTTAGTTAGAACGTCACGAGTCGGATGTGGAAGTGATAGTGATGGTGACGGTATCGAGTTATGAGTATATGAGATTAAAGAAAAAGTTTAGTTCTGGGAAGAGGTAACATATAATTTTTGAGCGTTTTTTGTTATGCAAGTGTGGAAGAACATCAGATAAAAAATGTTCCGTAAAAAGCATGGCTCTTCAATTGGCTTAATATTCTAAATATGGCATGTAACATCATAAAAATCGGGACGGATTGTTATGCAACATGTTCGTGTAGTCTCATATACATCTTTTTGTGTACAGTGTTTGTAACTGTACCAAGACTGGGCCAAATTTCTTATCATTTTGATGATTCCAGAACCTTGCAGTACACACCAGTACCTATATGCTAGATGATCAACCTTTTCTGATCGATTCCACACCGTTTCTTTCACAATGCAATCGCATGACCAGAACTCAACTTTATCTTTTAGCGCCGATTGTGACATTTATGGTTATACGAGTATTGATGGTGATGAAAAGGATGTTGTCAAAGATTTTGTTAATTAAACCGTGGTCACATTATAGATGATTACGACGAATAATAATGGTTACAGTATCGTGCTTAGAGTGTTTTAACGCCGATCCAGAAGTTTGGGGTTTAAAGGTACTATGTCCCTTTTGCAGCCAACCTCAAATTCTGTAGAACTTTGCAGGAATTATGAATATGTCATGTATGTCCTATCTGTGAAATTTGAACGTTAGCAGTGTCCTAATATTCAAATGATGCAAGGAAACCCGTTTACTCGCTAGACTTCACTGTCAGACACTATTGAGTGACTGACTGGCTTTTTTTCTTCTTTGGTAATAAAATACATAAAATGAGCTGTAATGGGTACATGAGCATGTGTCTACATCAATAACTCACTTCTTGTGATGGCCAAAATTAAACAGATTGAATCTTTGCACAGCATAGATTAGGTACAATGGTCTGAAAATCAAGACTATTACTTATTGGCTCTATAGCTCCTAAGTCGATTTGACAACTAATAGTCGTTATTTTTCCACTTGAAGACATTTTCAAGCCCCACTTTTTTTAGGGAAGTTCTAAATTAGTATTATCTTTCAAATGCCGTTGGAATTTAACCTTTTCATTTGTTTGGCTGCAAATGGGACATAGTACCTTTAAAGGGTGTAGGAAGAGCCTCGTGTAGACAAAAGTATTGAAGATGACGACGATAACAATGTTGACAAATTATTATTGGTGACATTGTGGATGCGGTCGACGAATACCTTTATAATAATGATCGTCGTGATGAATGCGGATAACGGTCATGTATTTATGCTCGCAATCATATCATGATGATGAGAGTAAGGTTAATGACGATTGTGAACTTCATGTAGTGATGACGTTGATGACGACGAGGACGATGATGACAGCGATAGTGATGGTGAAGAATTCGATAGTTAAGTTTCTACTTTAAAGTTTTAGTGTTTGTGTGTGCACTTTAAATGTCCACTGTGTAGTACCTTTAAATGATGTCTTCCCAACTTTCATCTGTTCCCCTTTCATCCGTTTCCTAACACAGACACTGTCACTAGATTGTGCATGTTCAATGGCTCGTGGGGAAATGACAACAAATCGGACTACACTGATTGCAAACCGTTGGTAGATATTAACGTAAGTATTTCTTCTTCTAAGCTTTTCCCAAATATCTTGGTATATCATAACAAAATTGTTGGCTTAATTGTAAACCTTTCAGTGTCAGTTCTAGCCCAGCATTTTAATAGCTATAACGCCCCTACCATGTTTTAGCGTCCCCCCCCCCCTGACAAAAAAAGAAAACAATTACAACTTGTTTAAATGGGATAATAGCTGATGTGTGTCAAACTACTGTATGCCTATAGTAGGGTGAATCCTTTTACCATGCTTATCAATTTCATGATATTACATACACTTCCAAACCGAAGCGGAGTTTCCATATGAAAAGGAGATTCATACATTACCACTCTGTAATAAGTATTGAATAGTAAAGATAGCTAGTGAAATATGGACCTTACGTGGGTAGAAATCCCGAACGATTTAATCGGTAATGTATGAAGTGGTTTAATATTTTGTATGTGATATCAATTAGACTTCAACTCCGTGATATAGTATGATTATATTAAATATTTAGAATGAAATTTATATTGTCATCCTAATTATTTTTTTTTCTTCTTTTCAGCCCTTTAATCCACATGAGAGAGCCGCGGACATTTTGATTTACACGGGTTACAGCCTGTCTTTCACCACTCTACTGGGGGCGTTTGTTATCCTTGTCTATTTCAAGTAAGTTATTATTTTTAATTTGATTGTAATGAGGATGGTTTGTTTTAGGACAAAATGCTCCTGTGACATATGTTCACTTTGACGAATTAAAATCCGAAGCAAATTCGGATCACCAGCAGTGAACCTTTAACTTTGTTGATGAAAAGGCACGTACCACTATCGTGGTTTTGAGTCCTAAGCCTATTCAAAGAAATTTATGAGAAACTTTACATTATTTTTAGAATTAATAATGCCTTATTGGGGGTTTCTAGAGCATTGACTTGGTTTTGAACCCGGGACCTTCTGATAAAGACTACACCTATAACTGAATCGTCCTGTCCATTATATGTCAGTTTTTGTCGCCATTTCTAGTTCAGGGGTAATCTTGCGAGTACGAAGAACGACAACAAAATGTAGTGAACATAACAATTTACGACCTACCATAAAAAAATAATGCTTGACTGGCCATGGTTTAAACTAAAAATAAGAAAATAAATCCCATATTCTCCCCGTGTAAATTAGAACATTACATTTTTGGCTACAAATTAAAGTACACGGTTCCATATTGACTAATGAGTAATTAATAAGAAATCCCACTCTAATATAATATTATTTATTTCCTCTATATATCTTTCTCCCTATCTGCCTTTCTTCTGCAGGAGCTTACGATGTGTGAGGAACTACATTCATCTTAACCTCGTGACCAGCTTTCTCCTTCTCTATCTCATCTTTTTTCTCATGATCATCATAAGCACTTTCTCTGAAGTGGCCGAAGAAGCAGTAAGTACTCTCCTTATACTCGGCCAGGGTAGTATAACAGCAGCTACGGAACATTACATGTACATCACCCCGATCACACCAATCTGACCGACAACAGACAACGACAGACCGAACAAAACAGTACATTACCCATCTAAACCCCAGTTACACCCATCTGACCGATACCACACCAACAACAGATCGAAGGAAAAAAATAGAACACCGTACTAAACCAGTCACATGAAGGTGATGTACCAACAACGATTAAAAAAAAAAAACCGATCACAACATTACATTACCCCCTGATGCCCAGGTCACACCACCCTGTCTAACACCAGGGACCCGTTTCACAAAGCCTTTTTTCAATGATAAATGACAATAATCAGTGACAAATCTGCTGAAAGCCAATCAGAAGCAAGGATTTCACTAGCTTATAACAAAGACTGTCATTTATCGCTGATGACAAGTTTTGTGAAACGGGCCCCAGGTCGACACCAGATCGAACGAAAAATGGCATTACCCCTTCTAAACCAGTCACAACAAACTGACCGACACGAGACCGATAACCGATCGAAAAAAAAGTATTACTCCTAATACTCCGTCAACCAAACCTGGCGGACGACAACGACAAATACCTGAGCCGAACCGTTTTGCGGACTCCAAAGCGAATCAAAATCGACCGACTCTCAGTCAGTGAGGCTAACATATTGTTCTGTTTCGTCTGTTGTCTGTCTTGGTGTCGTTCTCGCTGGTGTGAATGGTTTATCAGACAGGGGGCTGTTACTCGAGACCGTCATAAGTCTAAGTTCGTGAACATCCCATCATAGAAACGCGTGTTAATTCTATAACATACGTTTCAATGGGATATCTAAGAAGTTAGACTTGTGACGGTTTAGAGTAAAGGCCCTACTGGCCTAGGTAGAAAGAGGCTCCCTCAGCGGTGCTTTCTAGACATCCATATTCCTGTTAGGTGTTGTGCAAGCCCGAAAAGAACCTTTACTGAAATATATGACGTATAGAATGTATACAGAATGCCATCGTTTTAGTGGCTGATACATGTATGTTATTACTGTTCCTCTATAGATAAAACTAACAAACAAATAAGAATGGTTCAGGCAAGCTGGAGTGTAGGTATCAACGTCTGCAGTTTATCTTGCTTATCCATGAAATTTCTATCACGTTTCTCTGGAATTAATTCATTAGTGTTCAGCAAGATTATTTTTCTTGGTTGTATTTGCAATGGCACTCTACAAGCACATGGAATGATATCATTTATATTATTGTACACACCTCAACATTGTGTAGAATATCAATTTCAAGCTGTTATCATGTGTGGCTGAATTAGCTGAACGGTGTAACGTTTCTTAAACATAATCAGTGTTGAGAATTTGCCTGGAGTTGTATCCCTGAACTCCTCTGATTAACCTCGGTGTTCATATCTTGTTATTGTATCTTCTTGTTTAGTGGTACTGCCGTCTGCAGGCGACAGCTCTTTTCTATATCAATCTGACCAGCTTCTTTTGGATGTTCGTAGAGGGCCTGTACCTCCATACCATGGTGGTGCGAGCCCTCGCCGTTCGGAGAGAGAAATTTTGGGTGTATTGCCTCATAGGCTGGGGTAAGTGACTACTTCAACAATTTAGACAGTAAAACCGGGTATTCTGCAGACAAATAAGTCTACAAAGCATTTTTTTTAATAAGAAAAGCCTGGAGCTGAGTCTAGCTCTGTCAGTATTTGGACTGTCTAAAATATAAATAAATACTAATCATTAAAAGTTTGCAGCAGATCATGCAGCCAACAATGTCTCACAATACAGACACTCTGTTTTTTTCACACTGACTGATAATGTTTGTTTTGTGCCTATAAAAACAGGGAAGGGGGAGGAAGGGCACAGGGCAGTATTTCACAGTATATCATGATAATATGCGAGAGTCTATGGTTAATGCATGAATAAAAAAAACCCACTTTGACTGCTCAAACGATTATTCAAATCTGCTTATTCCTAATCTCGTTTCTTATTTTTTTTACTTGAAGGATTACCGGTCATCTTTTCAGTGGCCTATGCTATTACCGTAACAGTACTGGCTACCGGCACGAAAAATGAGTAAGTTTGCCACCTTTTAAAACTTTGTGGAGAGAGATTCAAGAGAGAGTGATAGAAGAATATATATATAGAGAAAGAGAGAGAGAGATAGAAGAATATATATAGAGAAAGAGAGAGAGAGATAGAAGAATATATATAGAGAAAGAGAGAGAGAGAGATAGAAGAATATATATAGAGAAAGAGAGAGAGATAGAAGAATATATATAGAGAAAGATAAAAGAATACATAAATAGAGAGAGAGAGAGAGAGAGAGAGATACATACAAGTATAGAAAGACAGAGATGCAAGTATATATATATAGAGAGAGAGAGAGAGAGAGAGAGAGAGATAGAGATAGAAGTATATATATATATAGAGAGAGAGAGAGAGATGGAGGGAAGGAGAAAGGCAGAGACAGAGACACAGAGAGAAAGAGATAGACAGAGACACAGAGAAAGTGATAATTTAAGTCACCAATCCCCGCGAACATGTATCTCATGATTTTTATTTTTATTTTTTACGTTTTCTCCATCCTGATACAGTTGTCTTCAGAACAGCAATGCGGAATATATCATTCGAGTGCCTATCATAGCCGTTATCCTGGTGAGTCCGCTGCCTCAAAATACATCCAGGTTTTTTTTTCTCAAGCTTTTTATTTGATTGTCTCTGGAATTTAAAAAATAATATTATTATCAATTTTATTTATTCCAAAACATTTGGGAGAACTATACTATGTCTTTGATCAAACTCTCCCCCCCCCCCAAAAAAAAAAAGAAAGAAGAAGAAGATATATAAAGAAATTGGGGATTTATGGCCTGAACATTTCTTCATCTCTATTCGATAGAGATAAATATTTATTTAAATAATAAGTATGGCAGAATTATTTGTTCTGTCTTTCTCATCTCCCTTCTGTTTCTTTCTTGCTCCCCACTCGTTATCTCTTTCTAGCCCCCTCCCCCTCTTTTGACAGTGTCAGTGCTAAATTATACGTTTGACAGTTCATGATTATTATTATTTTCATTATTATTATCATTATCGTTATCATTGTTATTATAATAAGGATAAGTAGAAGTAGTATGAGTAGTAGTATCATGATTATTATTGTTATCTAAAATGTATGTATTATATGTCAAATGAGCGACCGTGTCAATTTGCAATGGGCTGAAAATAAAAGTTCATTTTGATAAAAAGCCTGTAATTTTCCTACAATATGATTGACATTTAACAAATATCATAAAGCGATTAGTATTGCATGATAACATTTGTCTTTCCTTTACCAGGTCAACGTGTGCTTCATGGTCCATATTATGATCATTCTTGTCACTAAACTGAGGGCGTCACATTCCTTCGAAACGCAACAATACAGGTATGACCCTCGACCCCGGTAGCAGTCCGAAGGTTTCAAGTTGAAATAAATTTAGAGGCAGCTGTTGATTCTACTTTCCTCGTCTTCGTATTTATGCGTCAACAACATAATTTACCAAAACAGCTTAGGATTGTATTCTAGATTGAATGATACCTTAATTTGACCATGCCGATGCTCTAAAGAATGCATCATGTAAAAGTCAAATATTAAACCTTGCCAGTCTATAAAGTTTACCCTATTTTCAAAATCTTTCGAAACCATCGCACCTTTTTGTATGTTTTGGTCATATAGATTTAGGAAATGTACGGGTTTATAGTCGGAGATAGCGATTAGGCTAGATTGAAATTAGTTAGGTATTATTCATGCCTACACTAAAAATCATCGAAAATCATGGTCGCAGCATTGACACGTTTTGGCACACGTGTAATTTAATACTAGGGGAATAACCATAAGCATGATAAGACCTTTCCATTCGTTATTTATTTCATAAAGAACAGGATTGTCTTCAAGCTTGCGCCCTCTATATAGCAAACAATGCCTAATCGGTGACCGTTGCCTTGGTCCCTCATGGTCCCGTTTTCTTATGCTAATAATTATTGAGAGCTGAATTGATGAGAAAAAAAACACACCTGTCAGTGACCATGCAGGGAGGTCTAATCCTTCCTGGCCAAACTAGCGCAGAGGGGCTTTAATTTGTTTTTTAACTGTTTTAAAAAAGTTTCGCCATCCCCACATTTAATTTTAACTGTTCTGGCAATCTCCTTCCCCATGCTCTTGACACCTGGTACCCGTTTCACAAAACTTGTCATCAGTGACAAAGAATAGTTGTTGTTATAAGCTACTGAAATCCTTGCTTCTGATTGGTTATCAGCAGATTTGTCAATGATTTTTGACATTTGTCATTGAAAAAAGGCTTGTGAAACGGGCCCCTGCAATGATAACATTTTGATATTTTCAACGTCGTCTTACAGGAAGGGTGTCCGGGGGATCGTGGTCCTGCTGCCTTTACTCGGGGCGTCCTACTTCATGCTGCTTCTAGAGCCGAGCCCAGAGAAACCCAACGCCTCCACCTACGTCTACCGCTACCTAAACGCATTCCTCCAGTCAACCCAAGGCTTCTTTGTCGCGATCATCTATGTTTATATGAATCAGGAGGTAAGATAGATTTAATAACAGGTACTATATACCTCACTTTAGAAATCCAGCCATCTGATTGGTCGAAATTGGAGTCGTGATTTTATCCGTTCCCGTAAACAAATGTAAAATGCCAATAACGGTTAATAGTCCAAGAGTGAAATCCCTCAAAATTCCGGTTACCATGAAAATAGTAATTTTTTGCTGCGATACCCATTGGTTAACATGTTAACATTGTCTTTGTGCGAGCGCGGACACCATTCAGTGCCTTTTGTCTGCGATTCCCAAATGATCGAAACTTTCAGTCATTTTTTCAAGTTAAGATTAACAGACAGTATTTCAGATTTTCCGTGATGTTTTAATTAATCTTTACTCAATAAAAGGATAAGGTAATAATTATTGGTAGACTTTTGTTTCAATTCGGCATATGAAAGACACATCGACTGCTTTAATGTTCGAGGTCTCGCGGCTTTATATGCTTTTGGGAACTAGCAGATGCTGCCATGACCCCTTGGCGCGCCGCCCACCCAGGCGCGCCTCAGGGTAATGGCAGGATCTGTGCGCGTTCCCTTGAGCATATAAAGCAGCTAGGCCTCTCAAAGCAGTCGATATCTCTATACTATGTACGTTGATCCAAGTGCGTGAGGGCGCTGCGGCCCCCGGCTGGAAAGAAAGCACGATCATCATCCATATAATAACACGATCGATTGAAAAACCTCTAAGAAATCAACTCAAAGCGATTCTAATGCCCTATTATATTAGAGTATGTAGAAAATAATGTTCAGACTACGTAATATGTTATTGTCATATCGCACAATTTAATAAGTAATGCGCAAAGCTATTGAAATTAACAATTTTGATCGGTTAAGGTCATTGTGATCGTGTCTATTGACAAATTGTCATCCTTAGGATCATCGAAAGGGCTGGCATAGGGTTTTATCTATTAAAAACAAAATTGGTTTGCTTTTCGAACAAAATCTGACAGTTTGTAATAACGCCCCCACCCCCTACCTTGGAATTGTTTATGACCGGGCCTGTATTTGCTTCTATTTTATTTTTGTTGCTAAGTTATTACATTTCCAGTAATATGTTTGTACTAGGCCCTGTCATATAAAGAGTTGTTACTATCAATCGCAACTATGTGTATAACAAGAGATACAGGACTGCAAAATTGCGATTGATTGGAGGACTTGCCATTGATTTGGATCAATCGCAACTCTGTATAATACAGAGCCCCTGGTGTTGATGTGCATGATTCTAAAAAGAATCTTTGAATATGTTAACCCACCCATTACAATTTTATAATTAAGGTGGTTAACAGAGAACTTTTGCTATTTTTGTTGTTGTTCACATTGTTAATATTATTATTATCGTTATATTATTAGGAGGAGTAGTGTTTTAGAAATTTGCTTGAGTACGTAAACGCGTTTAAACGAATACATATCCAGGCGCTGTAATGCTGTGCTAAGGAATTATATTCCTTAGTGTTGCATAGGGAAAAAAGGAAAAATTTTGCTGGATTTTTAAATCGTTTTTCCTCTCTCCTTTCAGGTACAAAATGTTATAAAGAGACTGCTGAGGAGATGGCAAGAACAAAACACGCTACCCTCAGGGCGTCACATCTCAAGGATAGGTTCACACTCGCGACAGAACAGTCTTGCGAACAACCTCTCTCACTTTAGAAGAGGTTCCAATGAGGATACATGCGCTACCTTAAAGACAAGCCTCTCCCCCAAAACCGATGGAGGGGACCACGTGGGCAACGGGAAACTCCCAAGTTACGTCAGCTCGGGAAGACAAGAAGAGCTGGTTCCCTTGCAACCCGTCCTGGAGGGCAGCAACGAGAAGCTACCAGATTGGCCCGCCTCGGATTCCCCGGCGACTATTCTTGACAAGGAGACAACGGCACTTACGACAGACGAGGTGCTACCAGAAAAGAACGACAACGGAGTCGAGCAGGAAAATGACAGGGCGGAGGAAGAAGAAGAGGAGATGGAATTTCGAAGCGATGATAATTCTATGAACGATGATCATCCGGTTGGAGTGGGGTCGGATGAAGCGCTGATCGTCCACGGCAACACACCTGTCATGGAACAGAATCTGTTTCTGCAAGACAAACTTGCTCGTGAAAACAATAACCTCCAGCGAAATGGCGGCACCAAGGTGAATAGTTCCGATGAAAACTTACTGGCAGGACAAGTTGGTGCATTGAACGCTAGCAAAGAGAAAATGTCAGGCGGTGGTGACCAACCTTTCGGGAGTGTGCCTTCTGAAGGCAACCAGAACAACAGCAACAACACGCAGCTTCCATGTATACTAAAAACCCCGAGCGAGAGGCATTGTTCCGGTGGTAAGAAACACGTTGCCTTTGTGTGTCCAGATATCACAGGGGATGTTCAGCCCCACCCTCAACAGTTCTTTGAGGACTCCGAGTTTGACTCGTCTTTCATAGCGAACCAATCGCTTGGACTCTCGCCGGAGCCTGCTTCCACGTGCAGTACCATCGCGTCAGACCCGTGGACGAGGGAAGGTGATAAGTCAAAATGGAGCCCAAAGATTCTGTTTAAACGACCAAAGTGCTACGGAAGCCCCGCCTCACAGAGGTTGGTACGTCCCTCCTCTAGCGACCAAGGCCGCAATGGTCGGATCAAGCTTCCCAAATCGCCCGCTGGGACTCCCGTATGACTAGCTCCGCAAATGGACGGTTACAATGAATTAAGCCGCGACTTTATTTGATGACATATTGACCATCTTTTCAAGGGCATGATTTTTTTCTGCAACATGAACCAATGAGATGCACCAAGTCTGTACTCAAGTGAACATCCTGTCAACTGCCCTATTGACCGCGAAGGATGTGGACGAAGGATGTGGACGCGTACAAACGTGAATACAATTTGATATGATAGTTCACCCAGCGGATAGACAAAGGGCGGAAAGGGAAATTGGCTGATGGCACCAATATGAACCTGCATGACCTGACTGCAAACTTGTGCTTTCACAATAGGTTAAAGACGGTGTGTATGATCGGCCGAACGCCCTGCCTAAACGATGGTCATGTGAATCATAGCCGAGTGCCTCCGAGTATTTCATTGATATTTGTACAAACCGTTAGCAGTTCCAATTTGCAACATCTTATTGTTTTCGACCGAGGCCAGGAGCCTAGTCGTGGGTGCTTCTGTAATGTTGCCTTTACATACCCAGCAACGTACCTCAACTCTAGGCTCGCACTAGGAATGATCGTAGCGGGAAAATGGAGCTCGCGCTTGCAACCAGTCACTTCTTCGCAATGTGAACCGCCCGTTGTTGTTCTGCCCAAGTTATGTAGAGGATTCTGTTCAAAAGCAACCATAGTGGAGTTGTCAGCGTATTTCCAACCAGCTATTATGTGCAAAGTTAGCATACAAGGAGTTCTTGTAACGTTGTGTTTAATGTATTGACGTGTATCGTTTTGCTGAATGTAAACAAGAGAAACATTTCATCCATAAACCATAGATATCCTTACGATGTATTGTAAATAGTTTAAATGCACGGTTAACAGGGGCTCTATGGCATATTACTTTTATTTTGTAAATTCGACAAAAATATTCAAATAGTCCTATTTAGAGTAAAGATGTTGCTGTATATAATAAGGAAACTGACTAAGTTTGGCAGAACAAAACATGTTAGAGTATCTAAATACGTGAGATATAAAATACAATGCTTAATGTGGATCAGATTTTCCCATTCGACCCAGGTGAATTAAGTTGGTAACTGGCAAAGCTAGTGTTTTAACAATTTACAGTGCCCTTTGGAAGAACAGTATCCAATACTGACGTGGCCACCATGGGTAAATAAGATCACACATTTAGAATAATTGTTGTATTATTTCATCATAATGCTGAATATTATTTATGCTTAGGAAAAATCGGGGCAAAATGCCCGATTCAAATTATAGCCGATGTATAAGACCCCAAATGATGTCAGCTACATATTCCAATTTAAAGCGGCCTGTACCTGCATTAGGTATAACAAATACAAACTAAAGACGATGGATAAACAATTTAACAGGTAAACTGATTGTTGTAAAGACAACTTTGACACTTGGGAATAAATTGTTATATATTTTCGGTGATTTTTTTTTTTAATGATGTTCCTTCCTTAGACCTTATGTCTGTAATAAAATGAGGACATTCTGCCGAATCGGAATCTGTTGCTTTCTATTTCCTTTTCCATCCATGCAAAATTATTTGTAAAAGATTACGGTTGTAGTATTTTGTTGTGAATGTTATTTTGTCGGATGAAAATGGACCAGATTAATTTTTGTTGTTGAGTCAATGGCAACTGTTTGCTTGTTTGCTTGTGTTTCTTTTGACAAAATTAGCGCCTTAATTGATTTATGTTCAAAAAGGAAATGATGTACATAATATAGTTTGTATTATTTTGTTCTCCATTTATACAGAAATGCTGATTCTTATTAACTGCTGCATGCGTGTATAAGCTTTGATCATTGTATACTGAAATTATTCATGATTATGAGTCGCTTGTTTTGTTGCTCATTTTTCTTTGATTTATGACATACATGTAAGCCGTCTGGTTAATCGAATTTATAATAAATGGGCATATAGCAATCGGGGGGGGGGGGGGGAGGGGAGAGGGGGGGGGGGGTATTGGGCTCTGTCTGTGTCAAATCATCTGTATCGTATAGAAGGCAACATCGGATTATGTTTGATTGTTATTGATTTTGTTTGTACATGTAGGTGAGAGAGTTGAATATTTCCAACTTGACTGAAATATCTAAGCAAGTTTTTATGCTAATGATCTGATGAAGCGAGCAAAGGGACGTTGATTTCTTCTTTTTAATGAGATTATCGTTTCAGTACTGAGCAAAATAGCATTTTATTATACTTTATTGCAAAGTAACATGGTTTTTGCATTCCGCGATCCTGGCATGATTTAATGTTCTACGTCCCTCCTTGTGTATGATGTATCTCCATTTCAATGATTGATGATATATAAATCAGGAAATATTAATGTATATAGATTAAAAGATATATTTGTAATCGGTGAGACAGATCTGTAAAATACAATGCTGCCTTCAAATACTGAGATAATGTAGTTATTATCCGTGTTGTTTCTACGATCACCGAAAACGATGAACGTTATGATTAACATTCCCTAAAAAATCAACAAGAATTTTCTGATGGAGTTGAGCTTTCTTCCAACAACGACATCGAATGAAACTTCGCGGCGAGTTTACACCACTGATTTACGATTGCAATTGTTTTGTTATAACCACAATATTTTGTTACTATGGATAGTGAAATATATATATATATATATATATATATATTTGTGTGTATACTATGTATGTATGAATATAAATCTTGTTTTTTGTGTGTAACGAACATAATTATGTGAAATATTTTTATTACTACCAGAAATCGGAAGAGGGAAACAGTCGGTGAACGTATTTAGATTTTCAGCATTGACACCGATGTGTGATATGGCTGAGATGATAACAAAATATGTATGATATAGTCATGTTTCACCGTGTAGAGAAATGTGAATATATTTTTCGTTTTATAGAAGGACCTGTTTGTATAATTGTGTATGCATTCTGTGATCATTGCATACGAGGCATCATTTTTGTTGACGTAAGACTGCGTCAAAGATTGCGTCAAAGATTGCGTCAAACTAAGATTGCGTCAAACACTGCGTCAAACACTGCGCGATCTGTTTGATGCCGTATGCAAGTGACGTATGGCATGCAACGTGAATGCAATTGTGGAAGGTACAAGAACTGCATTGATCGGCTGACGCATGGCTGACGTAGGCCTCTAAAGCGTATGGACGAAAAAGACGCAGTCGAAAAGACAGCTCGTGTGCAAGGGGTATTGAATCATATATGTATGTGGATGCTTTGTTATCTCTTGTGTATGCTACTGGAATACAGGACCTAATACGAATCCTATTCGTGACATTAACGTCATTTGGCAGGGCATTTAAATACATTTGCCACTCTTTATGCAGGTGTATAAATCTATGTAAGAAAACTGGTAGTTGATACTTGTTAATACGTACATTACCTGAATACCACCTGCGTAATTGAGGGAAGCTCGGCTTAAGCAAGGATTCTAATTTTACCTCGGAAGTTGTCTAGATGGTCCCTTGCATTTGGTAATTGGCGCTTTGCAAATTATAATTATTTTGTTATACTTTATTACTGGTGATAGTATACGTATTAAAATACTGTAGTCGTAATCAAGTGATTGAAGACGAAAACATATGTAAAGGAATTACATAAAATACGATGTGCGAATATTTTTACAATCTGCGAATGAAAATGGGGAAAGTTATAACGCATTATACTAGCTAATCGTTCTACGCCAACGCATTTTGCTGCTGATGCGTTACTAGTTCTTCATGTATTGGCTCAATATTGCGCCATTGACGGAGGGCTGCGTCAGTGACGCCGGTTTTGAAGCGCTATGGGAGGGTAAACTCGTATAAAGTATGAGTATGAACATTACATCAACCAAAAAACGACTACTAGTAATAAATTGAATTCAAAGTTTAATTATACTTAACGTTTTATTTCACAGTGTTTGCTCTTAAATAAGCGCTCTTCCATGATTTCTATTTTACGTTGTAGATGTATTCCAAACTTGTTGCATTTTTGTTTTGCTGTTGTTGTTGTTTAGAATGTTTAGAATGCTCGTTTATATTGAAATATAATTTTAATCTCTTTCACGATACCAACACTGTCGTTCTCAAAGGATGTTTGATTGTTGATGCGTGTCTGGAAAATGTAAGGTATAAGGGAACCCATGTTGGCAAATTTAAAATCCTACGACCACTTTCTTTTCTTCAAATTTAATATTGTCGTCAAACATTGTCTTCAAAATCGCCTGGCGAAATCCCTCCTCTCCCCCCCCCCCCCCCCACTCAAATGTACATTAATTATCGATTTAACGGTGAGTGCACTTTTTGGTAAACTCACTCAACGTGTTTTTGAGTGTCTCATTCAATTTCAACGACGGAGGTAACTATATTCTTATTGTTACCAATATTGTTATTATTGCATCCGGATTAGTTTCTTGTAAGCAAATAGATAGAGAGCAAATGTACTAAACACCATCCCGATCATACAATTCTATACCACGTATTTGACCAAGTATCGAATATAAACCTTTTAATTGAAAATATGTTTGAATCCGAGTTGGCTGTACCTGTCGAAAATGAATTTCATTGTGATGTCATTTTCTATTATACACCCTTTCACTATAATACTGTTAATCGTGTACAAGAAGACTGTATCCGATCTAAATCATGTTTTAATCGTGTTATTTTTATGTGGTGAAAAAGGCGAGTCGTTTTCAGGTGATGCTCAAAGGGATGAAAACTGAGGTGGTCTTTTGTAAATATACTCAAGAACAAAAAAGAATGTGAATATTTCACGTACAGTAGTGGTGTTGATCGGTGGGAATTTGGGGTTTCTTTCTTTTTTTCTTGTCTGGAGGATATGCATTAAAAGCTGATTTAAACAGGATTGCCAGCAGTTGAAAATGTGTTTTATTTTGTGGTTTCACGTGCTATGTTTTTGTTATACAGTAGACTAACGGTTGTACCATGTGTGAAAGGGGGTAGGATTGGGAAGTCCTGAAAAGGACGGTCGGTAAACTTTTTATGTCTTTGTTGTGGTTGTGAAAGTGGGTGCCCTTAAAAAAGGAAATGGTTTGGTTTGTTTTGGGTCACGTCAACACATCAAATGTACACAGTTAATTGTTGACCCCCTAGATGGATGATCATACAGTACTACAAAAGAATCGTCCCTGAATAAATTCAAGGAAAACTATACATGTATATGTATCGGGGGTAAAGACTCACTACATCCCTGTGCCGTTCATTTGACATGTTTAAAACGGTAATATTTAGAGGGTAAGATATTAGTTGATAACAAATTTCATTTTCAAAGAACATTCAATATATATCACGATCCAAATGTCCCGGGTCTGTTGTAACTGAAAGCACTAACTAAAGGCAGGTCCAACGTACAAATTCGATTATAGTATATTTTATTGAATTTCAATTTAATCAAACTTATCTTAGGATGTAAGAAATGAATAGGACTGTTAACTTTATTTGATGAATAGCTTGTTCAAATTTACAATCAATTAGATGTATTTCAGAAAAGAAGATCAAGACATTGATCATAAGTATCGGGATGGGAGGTGATTTTCTTGTTGTTCTTCTTCTTTTTCTTCTTCTTCTATATATAATCATTATCATTTTCCTTGTTTCTTTATGTATTTCTCCTTCTTCTTCTTCTTCTTCTTCTTCTTCTTCTTCTTCTTCTTCTTCTTCTTCTTTTTTTTCTTCTTCTTCTTTTTTCTTCTTCTTCTTCTTCTTCTTCTTCTTCTACTACTTGGTAATCAGTCTTCTATCAGATAGAATTGTGTCACGTTTATAGTTTAAAATGTTGCCCTAAAATGTACATTAGCTCCAGGCGTAGGGGATTTTACTTTTTTCTTTTCTTCGATGATAAATTGCAATTTCAGATTTTGAAAATCACCTTATACTCCATGTTGGGTGCACGATTGGAGCTAAAGCACATTCTAGGGCAACATTTTAAACAATAAACGTGACACAATTCTATCCAGTAGCAGGTAGCTACGGAACTAGAGAAGGTTCATTTAAATGAAAGAGGCAGATATAAAGCTTTAGGGTTGTACCTCGAAATCGGTCCAAAGTGTTATGTTTTTTGGCTGATCAAGGGAAGAAAAGCCCTGGTAGTTTGCCAAGTATACGAAATAAAACATAACGAGAACTGCCAATTCACTAAAAATCAATTTCGAAAAGGGTTATTGCACTAAAGGTTGTTTTGTTTTGTTCTGGTCCAGTGGAAAATATCACATTCCCAAAATTGACAAAAGAGAGAGAGAGAGGGGGGGGGGGGGGGGAGAGAAAGAGAAAGGAATTAGTTTGTATTGTGTACGTGCGCATGTGTGTTTTTTAAAGCTCATAATCATTTGGCTAGGCCGAACTTCAATCATATTTGATATCTCTTAATGTTTATCTTCATCTTCCTTAAATCCCCAATCAGACATGAGTACTTATCAGATCCGATCTCAGCCAGGCGAGACGGGGGCATCTATTGCCCCCCTTTTCCCGAACAATCGATTTCATAAAACCACACCTTTTCAAATAATCTTAACTGTGTGAGTGTGTGAATTAGAGGCAAAAGGGGGGGGGGAGGGGTGGGGTGAGAGTGTGAGCGAGAACGAGATTAAAAGAATTGAACAGCATTGTAATTGACAGAATATTGAGACAGATTAAATGATTGGGAGAGGAAAAGGGTGTGCTTGTGAGAGAGAGAAAGGGAGAGAGAGGGAGAGAGAGAGAGAGGGAGAGAGAGAGAGAGAGAGAGAGAAAGGGAGAGAGAGGGAGAGAGAGAGAGAGAGAGAGAGGAGAGAGAGAGAGAGAGAGAGAGAGAGGGGAGGGAGAGAGAGAGAAAATACGTGTGTGCGTGTGCCTGTGTAAGTGTGTAAGTAGGCTATGTGAGAGGGAAAGAAAAAAAACAGCGGAGAGATAAAGATGCATACAAAGAAGAACAAATAGAGAAACACTGAAAAGCAATGGTTCGTGGGAGGGGGATGGGGGTGAGGATGAGGGAAACCGTCCATTGACGCACTCTCCCCAACACATGACAATATTATAGTATTAATGACTGCTTTGAGAAAAACAACTATTTCTCGAATAATAAAGCAGTCATTATAACTTTTATATACCGAAAAGGGTCATAGAATACATGTGCGATCTACCAATCATGGTAATCAAGTTTGTTTCCTCTATTGAGACCTAGTCTTAATAGGGGGTCTGATCGCGCACCACTCGAGTTTGTGTGCTAAATCATTCCCATTGAGATTGCACGCCTATACGTAAAATGCCAAAACCGGTCAATAGTCTTTTGAAAAGTGCCCCAGGACTTTTTTCAAAAGACTATTGATCGGTTTTGGCATTTTACGGGAATTGCTAAAATCACGACTCCTATTTCGACTAATCAGATGGCTGCATTTCTCAAGTGAGGTATATAATTTATTTTGTTTGTATTTATTTAATTTCCAGGTACATGACTATAAACAAAATAGAAATGACGACACAGAGCATATAACATGAAAGAGTTACAAGACAGTTAAATTACCGCCAGCGGACGCCTAAGGATTACCTAAAAGAATTTCCATTCTGTCATGTGGTTCTCCACGTCCGCTGGTGTTACATGTGAATATATTTAAGAAGTAACGGTAAAATAACATAACATAATTCAAGTACATCCATCAAGCATAATAAAGATTGCATATATGTTGGGACGTTGTGGCATGGAGAAAATAACAATCATGTAATAATAATAATAATAATAATACACAACATTTATTAGGCGCTTAATACATGTGTTTCTAAGCGCACCATTGTCTGACTAAAAATTACCAACCAAAACTTATAACTCTCTACATATAAATCTGTTCTTAATTCAACAAATCATGCATATATAATAATACAAATAAAAATGAGATCAAACATAAGGTCAAACATAAGATCAAACATCAGATCAAACAAATAAGGGATGAGATGGGGTGCACCTCCTTTGACCGACTCACAACTGCAGAATATCATTCATGAATTTAAAAGGTGCTTTTCAGCAAGGAAGAATTACAAAGCGCAACAACAATATTCATAAATTTTTCAAATGACCTAAATAGATTGAGATAATTAAATCAAATCAATTTCTTACACTTATCTGCTTATAATTATAAGAAGCAGGTGAAGATATATTCAATTTAATGACAGTGTATGATGCTCAGTTGAGTCTTTACTCCAAGAAAGATCACTCGAGAATATTAATCCAAGATATTTGTGTGAGGTAACCACATCACGTTGACGACCCCCCAGATTGTACTCTTTATCGATTTCTCTTCTAGATCGCGTATTAAATATGCATTACATTGCATTCGGATGCAATGAGTTCCAACTTATTGTTTGTACACCGTTGAGATATTAGGTTTAAATCATTTTGAAGTACTTTGCAATATTTTTTCAAATAAAGATTTGAACATGCCGCTTCGGCCTCCCCCTCCCCCCCCCCCCAAAAAAAAAAAAACAACAACAACAACAACAACACCACGCACACACAGTTTAAATATCAAATATTTCTATTGATTTTCGGTAAATCCACACACAGGTTCGTGGAGTTACCATACGCATCGTGACTATTTTGTGATCTACCTTTTATTTCGGCAAGTCGGAAACATAACAACCGCTTTTTGTTTGCTCAGCCCTCTATGCATACTACCGTGGACATCACACAAACCAGGCCTGCGCACCACTTGAACGTAGCGCACTTGACATTGTTATGAGCCCGAATCCAGGGGCGGCGGACGGGGCCACGCAAGTGCGCCGGATTTTCGGTGTGTGCCTTGAATACCATACATTTCCAATGCTGCGGCGAGTTGAAGCGAACACAATCCCGAGCTCTTTATTAGATCCTCTGCGCGTTCTCTCTCTCTTTGCCGGGGAGTTTCGGTCGGTCGATTTTTAACATAAAACACTAATGTGCTTGTTCGTGCAGACTGTGGAAAGAGAAGTCGTGGAATCATCGACATTTCTGGAATATAGAGAACAGTTCGGACCGAGGAAAGTCTAAAAAGCATTCTAAAAATGGTAAGTCTTTTGGACATTTTTTTAAAATGATACAATTGCGTGAAAAAGTAAATACTTGTACAACCGTTTAGAACTGTTTTATGTTGTTTTTGTTTGCTTTCGTTGAAGTTGATCTAACCCGGTGTATTAATTCACATGAATATGAAGTGGCGTAACGGGGTTTATACTAGTGTCGAGGGAGGGGAGGGGGGGGGGTCTGTTTTTGGTAAGTATGTGGAATGCAAAAAAGACGAGGAAATGGGTGAGAGGGGATTTGTCTTGTTTCTACATCTCTGTCTCCCATGACCTCTCTCTTTCTCTACCCCACTCCACCCTCTCTCCCTCTCTCTCTCTCTCTCTCTCTCTAGCCTTTCGGGGGGGGGGGGGTAGGCGTGCCCTACATGCCCCATGCCCTCCTTTATCTACCCCATTGTTAATCATCACTAGAGAATGGAGACATTCTTTTATACTAAATAAATAAAGAATCGTACATTGGAATTTTGAGTGCAACCTTATAGCGCCATAAATCAGCGCTCTTTTGTAACTTCCCATCGAAATATATCTCATTTGACTCGAAACGACCAGCTAGGCAATGATTTAATATGTCATGAAGTGGGGTTGAAAAGAAAACTTCCAAACAGATTTATCGATGAATTTGGGAGAGCTCACATTTTAATTGATTTTCACGACTGACAAACGACATGAAAAGAACATTGAAAAGTAGGTCACAGATTTTCCTGGTCACAGTAAAAAGAGAGGAATTTCTATAGAGCTTTACGCAAATATTCACACACAAAATGTCAATGGTAAAGCTTTGAATAGTAAAGAGATGGCTTTTAATTCAACGAGTTGTCAGGTGAATTTAAAGTGACTCGGTAACATTGCCTCAGATTCTGAAACATAATCCTGGATTTAGCTCATGCTGCAATCATATTATCATAAACATGTAGGCCAGTCAGGAATCCCATGACTTGTATAATAAGCCGATCGCCTGTCTGATTATCAGACGGTTTTTATAACACTACAGTCTAATGGGGAAAATGAGTATGGTAAAACCGGTCACTCAAAGATTTTTTAACTTTTTTGGGTACTTCTTGATCATTTTGAAGCGCAATTTGTTTAGGGCTTCAATATGACACCATATTACAGACACTGATAACACATAGGGCCATGCGTCCCAGTTTTAACATTGTTAAACGATGCCTTTAAGAAAGAAGAGAACCCTCTTCTCCCTTTTACCATCTTTTACCATCTTACCCGACCCTAACCCTAACCATAACCCTTACCCAATACCGAAAGCTAGTGTAAAACTAGGGAAAACCGAGTGATTTCAACCCTAACTCAAACTCGGAAATTTGAGCGATTGTCGTCGGGGCACATGCGGGGTCACAACTGTAGCGTTATTCAACCAGCTCATGGCAATCAACGTGAGTGTCATAAGTGCCATACTGCTCTGATCAAAGGGCAAATAAATTAAATGATAGATTCAAGAACTACGTGCAAAAACATAACTCACGTTAATTGGTGAATGAACATAGTAAACTTTAATTGATGATGGTCGTGCATTATTTATGCAAGCAACGTTCTCCGTCAAATGCGTTCATGAATAAATTACCATGCGCATGCTATAACCAAGTCACGGTAATTTGTTTTAGATATCGGTTTCATGTACACATGAATAAACATTTTTAAAAAAAGGTTCCCATTTTTATTCGTGAGTGTTCGATGTGTCAAAATAGCTAAGGACAACTAGTTGTCCAGGGTTATTGTTTGATTATTTTCATGTTTAATTTTGTTCTTGAATTATTTTATTGTAAACATCTGGGTGCAGGACCCTAACTTTCCTAAAACCGCCCCTAATCCATGAGGATGACGATGTTGATAATTTGATATCTGTTAGCATATATCACTATTCACTCCATATGCGTTTTGGGGGATAGGGAAAGATGTAGAAGAAGACAGTAACAGAAAACATAATCCAAATAAGATATAAACCACTGAAACTACAATTAAATATGACCCAAACTGCGTTTGAACAAATGAGTTTTCGTTTATAATTATATTTAGCATTATATTTCATACAGTTCAATACCTAACATTTGTAATATATCTAACTATTTTTCAAATCACACTCATGAGTACCCATGTCATATCGATGTTACCAAAGTATTAGTGGTTGAATTCGGTGCTCGGAATATACCATGAAATGATCTTCAATATAGATGTGTAGAAGTATGCAGTATATCAAGGTTGCGTTTATCAACCAGATTTTTGGCTAGAATCAGGTTTCTCAAACGTCTTTCAGGCAAATTTAGAAGGTGATAAACGCAAAGCCTTTTTCAAACGTCTTTAGATATGGGCATATCTAAAGACGCAAAAAAGTGCGTTTTGTATGTGACATACAGCCAGAATCACGTTTCTGAGAGATCGATAAACGCAAAGCTGTTTTGAACCTCACGTACAAATAGGACCACCCAGGTGTTGTGTACAAGCATGTGTGTGAAGTTGACCTCCGAGAAACTGTCTGCTTCCCTGGTCAAAACAGCTGGGCAGACACAAGGCCTTTATTTTGAATCGTGAAGTGACGATAAACGCGACATCCCGCAAATCACGATCGTATAGTGGGGTTCGATAGTGGGGTTTGATAGTGGGGTACGATATGTACATATCTAGTGGCAAGCCCTGATAAATGCGCCCTTAAGGTCTCTTTCACAAGTGCCTGTACTGGCATGTCATGATAAGGGACCAATGTACAAAGTCTGCAAATCGGAAGTTTACCTAAATAGTTTGAGATATCATAATTATATTATCAACATATAAAATTCGGTTACATAAAGTTCAGCACACAATTTGTGAAAGGGATTCGACGATATGGTAATCGTAAAACGAAACGAAAAATAGGAGCATATTTGTGATATGCGCTACATTTGTGTACATAAATGAGGGATATCACAATTATTATTCACGCTCAAAGTTTTGTTCTTCGCTACAATGGTAATAAAACACGTGTGGCTTAGCCTTCTTATTCTGTATAATGTACTCAAACAAAACTATGAAAAGATGCTCAAACTTGCACACTAACGTTTCAATGAATCAATCAATGAACTTAGTCACTCGGAATCCAGTCTGCTACACTACTTGTTGCTATGTCGGGAAATATTTCAGAATGTCAAGAATAACCTTTCTTTATAAAGTATGCATAACATTTGAATATGTTTGCTAACCGGTCTTTTGCCGCTATTGGGAAACAAATTGACATTTTAGCCTCACTTTATTAGTGTGTAAAACGGTCAAACAAAGAAAGGACTAGCTACGCATCTCTGCAAGCATCTTTTTCACGAATGCTTCTTCTATACATTTATTTATAATTCAATTGGTAATGCACCATTCTCGGTAGCCAGTAGGGAATTATATATGGAATGTTCATTTTGACAGTGCGTGACATACATGTACTACACACAAAGTGCAGTTGACCCCCAAACTTAGTCGCAGAATTCAAAATTTCCTTTGAAACATTTTTTATCTGAAAAAGTTGTTATCATGGTATGGTATATTATTTATTTCATTCTTCATAATGTTAACCTTTGTACATATATAACGAGTTTAAAACATCGTACAAACATACACAATCGGGAAGTGAACTGTGGAATTCCGCAAGGTGATTTACTCGTTAAAACTTTAAAGGTAATACAAAGTTTTGGGAAATTTTGAAAATTGGGTGAATAATGATTCTTTACAATTTCGATATATTTAGATGCCCCTGTGGATGTATTATAAGCACTAGAAAATTTAGCCCCTATAAAAACACTTCTGCTTTCGAGAAAAAATATTACCGGTCCTCCCGTTTTGATAATTTTCAAATACCGTCCGTACATCTCAGAATGTGTAGTTGTGATATATAATTTCTAAACGGGAATAGCTAATCGGTCGATTTAGTCAAGAAACATTGTTTTATAGCTTAATTAATATCTTGACCTTGAGAGGGAGCTATACGACATAAATTTCATAACTTTAAACTCGATTTCAACCGCGACAACGATCATTGAATATTGTCACGAAATTGGTTTCATTTCGTAGTAGTTATTTCGGCGTAGATGGCGTAATTCAAGTAAAATATACGACGCTATATAGTCACGTGTTAATTTTAAGAATGTTCGATTGTGCATGTTTTTGACAGTTTTAGTGTAATTACTTTTCTACCATTAATAATTACTTGTTTTCTTTTGTTTAGTTTTATAGAATAAAACTAATGCTTTCATTTGATATATGGTTTGTTTCAATCTGATATTGTAAAGTGGAGTTATATCAATGTTTATATAATTTTTGGAAACCTAACCAGAATAATAAATGTATAAGAAATGTGTATATAAATCAATTGTCTCAAGTGTCGGAGAGCTTCCTGTCATAGTCTACATAATTGCCGTCGCCCACTGGGCACACTTACATTGTAAGGCAATCAGATTATGTTTGGATATTTGCCCAATAAAGTATTGCGTGCAACGAAATGATTGAGATGATCGTTTGCATGTCTTTCCATGGGGAAACCTAAAGTTGAAGTCTGATTTTAGGTGACGACCATGGTAAGAATCTAGGTTGTGTTTGTTGGGTCTTTTACGTTCTAGTATTAGACAATTCCAGGGACTACTGTGTAGCAGAGCCAGTGGCATGGTCGAGTAAGCCGACTGTACGAAGTCAGACGGTCTGGTTGTTTGGAAGGTGCATGAAGCAAACTGGTGCGGCCAATTGGAGTTGCATGCACAAGCAGACTGGTATAGACGTCTGGAAGGTGCATGAAGCAAACTGGTGCGGCCAATTGGAGTTGCATGCACAAGCAGACTGGTATAGACGTCTGAAAGGTGCAGAAGCGGACTGGCCTAGTTGGCTTGTGGTATACGACGGTACAACGGTTGGTAGAAGACGGTGGTCGAGAGGTGGTACGGAGCAATATATCAGACTGGTGTCAACGTCAACGGGGCAGTATATTTCTGCCAAACGGATCCACGGTAAAATTGGTACCGGAC